CAATACTGGAAGCAGCTACGACAGCAACAACAACAAAAGCTACTACTACTACTACTACTACTACTACTATAACTACTACTACTACTACTACTACTACTACTACTACTGCTACTACTACTACTACTACTACTATAACCACTACTACTACTACTACTACTACTACTACTATAACCACTACTACTATAACCACTACTACTACTATTACTACTACTACTACTACTACTACTACTACTACTACTCCTGCTGCTGCTGCTGCTGCTGCTGCTGCTGCTGTTACTACCGCTACGACGACTACTACTCCACAAACACCATTGTTTTTTCAGGATCATCTTCATCATGAGCATGTTCTTCTGGCATGCTTCAGCAGCAGTCCGGAACTTTAACATGGGATTGGCGCGGCTTAGGGTTCGTAATGATGGTCATCCTAGGTTTCAAGCGCATGTCGGTTGTAACTGGGAAGGTGCGGTCAGTGTCGAGGTCGGAGCGGGTGAAACTTGTCCGACAGTTGGGGCTGGCTTTCGAGCTGCGTATCCTTGCTTTCCCTGGTATGGTGCCCTCCCATGCATTGGCAGGAAGTAGTGTTCATCTTCTCTCCGCGCAATTGCTAGCTTTGACAGCCCTGCTGACTCCTCGTAAACTCGTGTGCATAACACCGGTCCTTCGCCTGGCCTTACACATTCAACGGTTCCCATGTGTGAGGATAGAAACCAAGAAGCCAACCGAGCCAGCGACGGCGAAGCCTAACACAACAGGCGTGCCGCCTGGTTGGGATTGAGTTGGCTTCAGTCTGCTGTCTGCCCTGTGCAGGCTTGAGTTTGAGCACTATATGTTGCATCGTGGGTATTCTTGATGTCTCCTTACATCTGTGGATGCACTTCGGTCGAGTCTGTTGCCGAGCTCTAAACTTCTTTGGGCCAGGTGATCACAGCCTCGAAGCATCTGGTTTCGGGTTTAGGGCTTAAGGTTCAGGGTTTCGGGTTCAGGGCTTAGGGCCTAGGGCCTAGGGTATTTTGGCGAACAGACGTCGGTTTAACCGTCCCTGATTTGGGGCGCTGGAGTTTGGGTCTTTCTTGCCGCTTCCGGGTCCAGGAAGCCTACTAAGCTACCATGCCACATCGCCCCTACAGGGCAGGTGGGAACAGAGTTTTTGGTGGCTGGACGGCCGGTACCAGGTTACTTCTCTTGGTTCTCTTGTGCATCTCACACGAACCAGCGGTGCAAAGAAGCAAGCAAACCAGTGGATACAGTCGGGCGGGCCCAGTGAGTTCCATGCTCCCATATGCAACCATGACAGGCGAGATGTCTGAGGAAGAGAAGAAGTGGGGGCCTCTGACTTTTCGCGGGACACAGAAAAATCTTGAACTGCTTGTAGTCAGACAAACGTCAGGGGTGTGTGTGCATGCAGTTGAAGCTGTGTAGTGCACCCGGCCATGACGCCCTAAACCGGAAAAATCAGGGTTGCGATGGCCTGGCAGGAAGAAGAGGGCAGCGCGGTTTGCCAAGTGAGGGACACTTAGGGCGGTCTGAGACCAACCAACGCCAGTCTCAATATACGCAAGTGCTGTAAATAAGAGCCTTTGCAGGAGTGGTGTAGTGCAACTCAGCTGCAGGATCGATCGCCGGAAATATCGTGAATACAATAGCAGCTATACATACACGTCCATGCTACAGTGTCGTGACACAAACATATTCTGCATGTCTGGATGTAGTGTTTGCAATGTCTGTACTGAAAGTAATGCCTGCCTGCCTGCATGAGCATGTTGTATGGATGGATGAATACATGCATGTATGAGTTCATACGTGCATGCCTGTATACATGTACACATTTGTTTTTGCATACATGCAGATGTATGTATATATATATATATATATGTGTGTGTGTGTGTGTATGTGTGTATATACATGCTCAGTATGCATGTATGCATGCATGCACATATCTGCATATGTATGTGTGTGTGTGTGAATGTATCTGTGTGCAAAGATGTGTATAATACATATACATATCATTCTTACGTACACAATCCTTGACAATATGCCAGGTACTGGTGCCCATCGTTGTCATGACGACTTCACCCCGTTTCTAGTTGCATCGGCTGGCATACTGTAATAGCATGCCAAATGGTTACAGCACTTAATCTGACGGCCGCCCCCCTGCTAGACAAAGGCGACCAAGAGCACGACCAAGACGACTCAAAGACAACGCTCCTGTTGCTGCTACTGCAACTACGAGAGCAACAACATAAACGGCAACAGCCTCAAACAACAACCACAATAAGCGTACCACCGCCGCCACCATGACCACCACGACACCCACCACAATCATCTACCACCACCACCACCACCTACCAGTTACCACCACCTACCACCACCCCCACCCCCACCCCCACCACCACCTACCACCACCTACCACCACCTACCACCACCACCACCGCCACCCCCACCTCCACCTCCACCTCCACCACCACCACCACCATCCATGTTTACGACGGTTACTTGTCGCCTCTCGATGGTAATAGTCTTAGTGCCACGCTTTTTTTTATCATGGTTGAGTGTGCTCCCGTCGGTTGGGTTTACAGTCATGCTTTCTCGTGTTGGTGCTGGCAGTCGTCGTCGTCGTCGTCGTCGTAGTCGTCTTCAGCTTTGCTACCGCTGCTTGTGTCGTGCTGCCTTTCTCCTTCTGCCTTCGCCATCAGTGCATCGGTATAGCAGATACCAGGTGCCACCTCAACGCAACCCGAAGTCCTTGTCGTGCTTGTTTTGCTAAGATATGCCGGCGAGTGCGATCCTGAATGCTGAAGTCCCTCATTTCTAGACCCGAAGGCACCGCTCCGAATCTCTTGCGAGACTTAAACCGGACAATGCGATAGCTGACTTCAAAGTTGGCTAGAGCTCAGAATCGGCCGGCGAGGCTCGAAAACTGGCATGGATTCCGGCTGCAGAGAGTCGGAGTTTAGGGCTTTGTCTGTGGTCTGTTTGGAGTGAGGAAGCTCATGACTCGTTGATGTTGCCAGCAAAGGTCAGATGCTTGTGCTTTTCGCAGCATTTGGCTGAGAAAGGATTGTGGTCCTGGCACTTGTACCTCTGGCTCGCAAAAAGCAGCACTGGGACGATGGCCACCTACTGCACCTACGAGTCCACCTTCATTGCTGTGAAGGACCATACTGTGCTGGGGCTTATATTCGCGGCACAGTCTACCCTTCTATGCAAACGGCAAGTATAGTCTGTTTGCGGGAGGAGGGTTCAGGGCTTGTGTCTCGTGGCTGAAGCTGCATCAGCGTACCCCGCAACCCGGAGTGGCGGCCCAGCCAGCATTCTTAGGGTCCCAAGCTCTGAACATAAAGTTCCAAATCCTATACCCGTCGCGGATACACGTTCGATCATATTCTGCTTGCTGTTGACGGCAGCATTGCTCTTGGTCATATACATTCATATACGGAACGACCCACTTCCCAAACGCTGTCTCGAAGGGGCGCTCACCTACCGCACCCGCCCGACCCCGACCCTACATCCTCGAGTTTCAGGACGCGGCGCCCCCTCGCCGTGTCTCGCTCTCTGCACCACCAAGTGGCGACCGTCCACAGGTGGGGGAGACCCGAGCAGCCAGGCGGGGTCCACTTAAGGGTTCAACAGAGCTGGGCTGGTTTTTGTTAATGTAGGAACCTGATTTGGGGACCCTGGCCCCTATAATCCCAAAATATTAGGGTTCATATGAAGAACCCTAATAAATACCCAAGGTTTCTGAATCAGGTTCCTACATTATGATCCTTTGCCTCCCTTGGGCCCTCCCTAAACCCTAAACCCTAAACCCTAAACCCTATATGATCCTTTGCCTCCCTTGGGCCCTTCCGAGCTCCCCTATTCCTCTGCTTCTTCCGGCCCCGGCCTGCTAGTCTTCTGGTGCCCCCCTTTCGTTTCGGGCTTCTGGGTCGTCTAAGTTTAGGATTTAGGGTTTAGGGTTTAGGGTTTAGGGTTTAGGGTTTAGGGTTTAGGTTAGACTTCTAATTCTTTCAACCCATTCAAAAGGTGCTCATGTAGACCTTAGCAGCAGCTACGCATAAAATCCCCATTCGACACGGCTACACCCAACTGCGGAAAAAGTGCGAGAGGCATGACTGATGCTGACCAGAGTAGGTCCTTGCCGCGACAGGGTTCAAAGACACACTGACAAGATTTTCTGACCACAACGACAAACTACTTTTTTACACTGACACGGGTGTAGGCTCAACCCTAGCAGTATGTGCTGGTGTGGAGTGGAGTTCACATTCCGAGAAGATTTGCATCAGGACAGAAGTGTAAGCTTTACAGCACATGCAATTCAATCATGCCCCCACCCCCCTCTCCCCCGCGACTCGCAGGAGAATCACCACTTTGGAGGATTCAGGCTCTGAAAATGGCAAAGTGGTGATTCCCGCGCGTGCCCTCCCCCCCCAATCTCCACCACCACACGTGGGAAATCACCATTTTGGATGAGTTAGGCTATGAAAATGGCAAAATGGTGATTCCGCACCGAAAGACCAGTTCAGAGGCATCCGCAGCTGATATGTGCTTCTGATGCTGGTAAGTGCTGATGCTGCTGATGTGTCCTGCTGCTGCTGCTGCTGCCGCTGCTGATGCCTGAACGTGGTGAGGCTTTCATGCTCATCGTGGTCAGGTTTTCATGCCTTGTCGTGGTGCTGGGTTATGTGCTGATGCTGATCATGTGTCCAGCTTTGCTGCTGCTGCAGCTGATGTCTTGTCGTGGTGAGGTTTTCATACCTTGTCATGGTGAGTTTGTGATGCCTTGTCGTGGTGATGTTTTCAACACGCTGTCATGGTGAAGTTGTTTTTTCTGTCATGGTGCCAACATGTCTTGTTCTGGTGTGCAGTCTTTTTGTCTGTTGTGATAACGGCTCTCCTGACCACTGACTACAGCTGGGCTTGTTCGACGTCAAGCCGTTAAGCTTAACCGCTTACCCTAAATGATCGGTTCCTTTTTTCTACTTTTTTCTAAAGCCCGGAAAATCACTAAACGGCAGAGTCCCTGAGCTCTCAACCCCAAAGCCCCAAAACCCTCGAACCACAAACCCCTACAAAGAGTCGCATCTCTGCTCTGCGCGAGGAACTATGTCAAGAACCTGGAGCCCCGCCAGTAATTGGTTGATTGTGTGGGATTTCCATTAGCTTTGAAGTAAAAGAAAAGCGGTGGTTTTCCGAAAATTGGGGACACCCTAACATAGTACCCGAAATAGTAGGATCCTGATTGTGAGAACCCCAAAAGTAAGGTACCCCTTATTCTCGGAAACTCCCATATACAAGAGGGACTTTAGGCAGCCTCACTATTTGAGGCACCGGATGCTTGGGGATGGCTGGGCCGATAGATGAGGTACTTGGGGCGTGGGCTTTAGGGCTTAGGGTGATACTTGGGGTACCATTGGGCTGTAGAGCCTGTAGAGGTTTAGAGCCTTGGGAGAGTTTGGAATACACCGGCAGTATGGTACTCCCGATCTGCTGCCTCCACAGAGGAGACCTCACAGAGCCAGAGACCTGGGTTTGGGAGCAGAAATTGTCCGGTCAAAATGGGGAAACCCTAAACCCCAAACCCTAAACCCCAAACCCTAAGCCGTCGTGGTTGGTGAGTCGGGGCTCCAGGGACCGGCGGCGTTGAATTCACCGTTGCTCAGCGTCGGATCTCCTGAAGATCTCGGCTATACGGCCTCCCATACCCTCTGTGTGTAGTCCGGCATCAACGAATCAAAGACGAGCGACTGTATGTCACTTCTGTCCCTAGTCACTAGATTTTCAGAAACACTGCTTGTTCTGCCTTAGCTTCTAGCTTCTGATCGCATCCGAGGAGCACCGTGCCGAACAACTTCATGCAGAACGACCGCCAACCCCGGATGGTGCTCAGGAGATCCAGGCAGAGGCCGGAACGCCCTCAGTTCTAAAAGCACGGAAGTGGGTTGACATGTCTAAGAAGGGGCAGCTGCCTCGAGTCTGTTCTACCTGCCATCTTTTTGTGTTTTTGTACTACTCCTACTCCTCCACCTGCTGCTGGTGTTGTGGCTGCTGCCGCCGCCATTACTACTGCTTCTAGACGACCGCTACTAGCCACCACAGCTGCCAGCGGCATTTTCGACATCTTCATGCTCGCAACGTGCTCTTCTCAGATGACCCCCTAAACCCTAAAACACTAAAACCTAAACCCTAAACCCTAAACCCTAAAACCTAAACCCTAAACCCTAAACCCTAAAACCTAAACCCTCTGGTGAGATCGTCCTCAGCGAGAGAGTTCGCGAGGAGCCTGCCCCGGTTCTGGCCATCAAGCAAGAGGAGCAGCCAAGCACAGTAAAGGCCGCACCGGCAAGGGTTTAGGGTTTAGGGTTTAGTTCGTTAGGGTTTAGGGGTGTGATATAGCGGCCTTAATCATTACCTCTATTATTTTGGGGGGTTGCATGACGGAACAGTTCGCAATCGGATTGCGTTGATCCCTTTGTTGCATTGAACCTCGTAGACCCCCGAAGCCCAAGAACATATATCCCGAGCCAAAATCCTTCAGATTGATATTCACCTCCAGCCCTGAATGCAATCCGAGAGGATAATGATAAGCCACTATAAATCCCAAAACCAGTACGAGAGAAATCGTCGGCGCACCCTAAACTCTACAAAGACTCTACTTGGAGGTTCATGGGTAGTCCCCCAATATGGGTTATAAGTATAGTTACCCTACTTTTAACCCTGTTTATAACCACCCATGAACCTCCAAGTAGTAACCGCAAACCCGAGTAGTTCTCTACGTACTTGCAAGGCAGACGCTGCGACTCTTCCTTCCAAGGGAAGTTATGGCCACCCGGAGCTTTGCAGGAAGCCATGCCTGCTTCCCGCCAGGGGTTAGGATTGCAAAGGTTGCTTTCGGGTTTGTTTGGAATCTGCAGGAAGCATTTCCGGAACTTACGTTTTGCAGGGTGTTAGTTGTTGCGATTGATCACAATTCTTAAACCAGGATATTGCACTCGCGTCCCGCATTTGCAATGGGAATGCTCGAATAATCGGTTTGGAAAGAATCAAACCGGGCGTTGAAGCAATTCCTTCGTTGATAGCATGACGTCAAATTGCCACTCAGGCAGTAGGAGCCAGAATAGTTACGCAAGCTCCTCGCCTCAAGATCCACAAACATGTCATAGCCTGTCATAGTATAATTTCATTGTGCATGATTCAGGCTCCCAGCTCTTTGGTTCCGGTATCCGGCAGTCAGGTCTGGAATTTCAGGGCATGGGGAAAGCTCGATCTTTGACGTGGTAGGTGAAGTGAACCGACTTGGAGGGGCTGTTTGCTATGGCATGTTGATGTGCTGAGCCAGCCGAGACTGCTGTGACATGCATCTTAAGCCCCAAAGCGGCCCCCACCTCAAATCCAACGCAGCAGCCCAACACCCCGCGGGGTTGCAGGGGCAATGCGGATCTCTGTGTAGGGGTGTAAATGTGTAGGGGTGTAATATGGTTTAATGAAGGCTCCAGGTAGAGAGATGCTGCTCAGAAAATTTCAGCACAGGGCTTCCTTGTGTCAAAGGATTGACCGCTCCCAGCCGAGGTTTCTACGCTATGGGAATTGCCCGAACGGCGTTCTCTGTGAATATTGCCACGTACCACACTCCAGCCGCGCAGTGAAGCTAGATAAGCGTCAGCGAGACTCTTTGAAGGAACTGAGCGAATCGGCACTACTCGGTTTGCTGCTACCGCACCTCAACGCCCGCGTTTCAACATTGAACCTGCCCCAAGGCGCGGCAGACACGGTAGGCTTGATGGAGCAGCATTTGGCATCCTTGCCACATGAGGCTGAGGGCCATAGCATGGCGGCCTGGAAGCTAAATCAGCTGAACCGGCTCCTGAAACAGATGAGCTTCATGCGCTTGATTCGTCTGGCACCCTGCAGCGATGAGGGTGAAATCAAAGAGGCGCTAATCCGCCTGCAAGCCGGCAAGGCCAGTACTCAGGGAGAGGATTAAGACTCAGTCTCGGGAGGTGCTTGATGTGTTTTTTGGGGGGTTTTGAGATCACTCAGAACCTAGGTATATCGTTAATTCGCTCCCATTGGCCTTCAAAGCGGCAGTGAAAAGTCGGAACTTGTTGATCTCGGGGCTATCTGGCGAAGTTCACGCTACGTAGACTTGGCTACAGATTCGCCGATGGCCCTGTGTGCGAACGCACACCGTGCACACTGCACGACCGCTGTGTGCAGGTGCCTCCTCTGGCTTTGAAGCTTGCAGAAGCGCCCCCCATCATTACAGTAGTTCCAACTCATCACCGCTGTAGGATTGCAGGCCACCGCCTATGCCTATGCCCTACTGTAGGCAGTATTGAGCTGCAAGGGTGTTTGAATTCAACCAGAGATCAGAGCAACTCCCAACTTACTCCACTTCCCTGCGCCTCCCTCCAGGGAGCTTTATGCGAGAAGTCTTTCTGATGCATCAGACAGGGTGGCTAAGATTCGAGTCGGAACTCGGATCACCTTCGAAGAGAATGGGAATCTGCCCAGCGATCCCACTGGAATTCCTTCATCCCGGATCCCTAAACCCTAAACCCTATACCCCATAAACCCTAAACCCTATAAACCCAAAGCCCTATAAACCCTAAACCCTATAAACCCTAAACCCCCTAAAGCCCGAAACCCCAAACGCTATGACTCCGTCACAGCACCAGCCGGGGGCTGTTCGTGCATCTCCTTCACGGCTAGAGCGGGGATGTCCTGCAGCCCCTGTGAAGAAGCAAATTCTCTCAGCTTGCTGGCACCTTTCCCCGGTTTGACGAGTCCGGGTTTTGGTTTTTAGTTTTGGGTCGTGAGGTGTGGGATTTATATGCCTTTCTCGGGCCGTGTTGGCGGAGGCGGTCCTAGAAGTCCCGCGGCACTACACGTGTGTCAGGACCCACTTTAAACCTCGAAGCCTATGACGTGTTCTGCAGCTTGGTCCGCCGCAGTAGACTGGATTGAGGCTTGAGTAAGGTGCTCCGACCCCGACTGAAGGTGAGAGTGTCATGGGTGGTGTCAAAAAAACCATGAAAGAAAGGTGGAAGCAGCTGGAAGTTCTATTTCAGCTCTTGGCATGTGCATGCATCTGCGGCCTCGAAAGAGCATGCCCCTGGTACCCTGGCACTTGTGGCAACTTACTGCGCGCATAGGATGACGACCGACACTGGTCATCGTGGTGGTGGTGGTGGTGCCTGGTGGTAGCGGTAGTAAGTAGGGTTCTAGTTGGGGTAACTATACTTATAACCCCAACTAAGGGACTTATAACCTTATTTACTAAGTCTCATGATCCTCCAAGTATTCAGCACCCACCCTAGACCCTAAACCCTAAACCCTAAACCCTAAACCCTAAACCCTAAACCCTAAACCCTAAACCCTCACCCATACCCCAGTATATTGTGAAGCATGGGGCCCTTGAGGAGGTTCCAGGGTTATGGGCGTGACTCAAACGGCTGCGACCAGCGGCCGACTGAATTCGACGAAAGCCTCAGCAGATGCAAAAGACCTATACTTGGAGGTTCATGGGTAGTTATAAGTGGGGTTATAAGTCCCCTAATATGGGTTATAAGCATAGTTACCCTACTCATAACCCCATTTATAACTAACCATGAACCTCCAAGTATAGTCTCCATTGTAGTTCCTTTTTTTGGTTTAACCAATAATATAATAACGAGTTTATATGGTATCCCCAAAAAGGAACTACAATAATAATGGAGACTATAGGGAATGCCCATTCGGAGATCTCCACGGGATGTTCGATTGCATATGTTCAGGCATCTCTTTGCAAATGTCGCTAGTTCCAGTCTTGTTCCAGTCTGGTGCTTCTGTTTGTTGCAACGTCCATGGGCAGTTTATCGTGTACAGACGGCACTTGGCGGTGATGTCCGCAAGGTGACCAATCGTAGGTGCAGGCGCGTTTGCTTGCCAGCAGCTGCTAGCTATCTAGGGTCTATATGCTTTTCCAGCACATGCTGAACTAAGTGAAAGATTGCACGAGACAGACTTCCTTTCCGGGCTAGCACAATCTATTTTGGAAGCAATTGCTTGCTTGCAAATGCCACTCTCCGTCTCTCCCTCGTCGCTCTATCTATCTATCTATCTATCTATCTACCTGCTGTCTATCTATCTAATCTAATCAAATCCAATCTAATCTCATCTAATCTAGTCCAATCTAGTCTAATCTGAATCTAGTCTGATCTATGTATCTACCTATCTGTCTGTCTATCTATCTATCTATCTACCTATCTACCTACCTATCTATCTATTTATCTATCTATCTATCTATCCATTTATCTATCTATCAAATCTGTCCAATCTATCTCCCTCGCTCGCTCGCTCTCTCTCTCTCTCCGTGTCTCTCTCTCTCTCTCTCCCTCGCTCTCTCTCTCTCTCTCTCTCTCTCTCGCTCGCTCGCGCTCTCACTCTCTGTTTCTCTGCACACGGTTGCATACACTCATGGACACCGTGCACAGTTTCACAAGACGTACCTGCCTACGTACATCCACCTGCACATCAATGTAGAATTGCAAGCACAGACAACTGCATGCCTACACCTGGTAGCGACAGTGTCTGTCGCTTTCTCACTATTTGTATGTTCGAGCGGAAACTTCTACACGACAACGCATAAGACGTCGACAGTGGAGCCATTGAAATACAAAGGAAAACATGCACGGTGGTGAGGTGATTCAGATTTACAGCGCACGAAGAAGTGCAGCACCGAAGGCGAACCTATCTCTTGTGCTGTGTCGCGAGTGTTACGAGGCTGCAGCAAACGCGGAAACACCTGGAGGCGAATTGCAGGTGACGACGGCAGGGTTCACTGCTGCCCTGCTTTCGGCATAGCAACTTTCCCAGGTGCCGTGGTTTAAACAGATCGAAGACGAGCCGCTGTTTGCCGCGAGGTGTGTTCTAGAACTCCTGATCAGGGCCGATGCCCGGGAGCCGACGTAAGTGCCGACGTGGCTTCCGCGGGTTCGTTGTCTTTGGGAGTTCGTGGCAGAAACCCTGTCGATCGATTGATCATCCAGTCGGCGGCAAGCTCGAACGTGTGCCGGGCCAGTTGGTGAAGTCGGGCCTTTGCTCCAAGGTCTCAGGTTCAGGTCGGGCTCCGAGAGGTTAGAATCAGAAAACCCTCCACCCTGAAGGCCCTAAGCCCTAAACCCTAAGCCCCAGAAGCCCAGAAGCGATTAGAATCAGAAAACCCTCCACCCTAAAGGCCCTAAAGGCCCTAAACCCTAAACCCTGAAGGCCCTAAACCCTAAAACCCTAAACCCTGAACCCTAAAGGCCCTAAACCCTAAAACCCTAGACCCTAAACCCTGAACCCTAAAGGCCCTCAAGGCCCTAAACCCCTAAACCCTAAAGGCCCTAAAGGCCCCTAAACCCCTTATAAGCTGTAGACCCAGAAGTCTCAGACCTCGTCAGGAAGGCCCGGCTCGCGGCACCAACTGCGTATAGGTCGTCGAGCAGGTTGCACCGGTATTGAAATCTAAGGGTTTAGGGTTTAGGGGTTTAGGGCTTTAGGGATTAGGGTTCAGGGTTTAGGGTTTAGGGTTTAGGGTTTAGGGGTTTAGGGTTTAGGGTTTAGGGAGGGTTAGGGTTGAGGGTTGAGGGTGGGGTTCCATGAAGGTTCTACGGGTCGAGAAGCCTTCTAGAAGGATCCTTCCAGGGATACCAGACCTAGTGTGGGCTCAGGGCTTCTTTTGGGGTCTATAGGGGTATGAAAGGGTTCCTATAGAGTTTCGGACGTCGGGCGCTAGAGGTGAAGGTCTACCAGACTTAAGGGGAGATAACATGATTCCAGTTAGCGCAAAGAAATCCCCTATACAAGGGTCCTACAAGGCTTCCCAAGGTTTAGGCTTAAGGGTTTTACCTGTAAGTATCTACGAACCGTACCCATGTGATAAGCACTAGGGTATTCTGGTTGCTCTGTTGGTTCCGTGGGTGTTCGCAGCAGTGCTTTTGATTTGGGGCTCATGGCTGAAGTGTGCGACTGCATGACTTGCGGTTGAGGATGTGGGCGTTTAGAGGCCCAGATTTCTCGGAAACCCTAGCATGAATTTAGGGTTTAGGGTTTAGGTTTAGGGTCCGAAAGGCCATTAAAAGAAATTCGATTCTGCCGAAGGCCAAGGCGCACCAAGCTGGTGCCAGCGCACGAAGAGCTCGGGGTCGGGATCCCCCATGAAGCCCGCCACATCGGCACCTACCTCCGGGTCCGGCTCGGCGATCACAACGGCAACCGCAGAGAGTTGGGGTGTAGGGTTTAGGGTTTAGGGTTTAGGGTTTAGGGTTTAGGATGTTTCAAATCCCCTGCACCCTCCTAGCTGCCCTAAACCCTAAACCCCTAAACCCTAAGCCCCTAAACCCCTAAACCCTAAACCCCTAAACCCTAAACCCTAAACCCCTAAAACCCTAAACCCTGAACCCTAGGTCCTTGCTGTAGCATGTGGCTGAAAACACAATCACACCCTGCACAGCCCAGCGGCCCCAAGACTCCCCCCGTGACTAGAATAGGGTCTTGGGGGCTCCTTATTTAGGGGGGTAGGGTTTAGGGCTAGGGGCCTGAATAATTAGAATAGGGTTTTGGGGATATTATATAATAATTATATAATATCCCCAAAACCATATTCTAATTATTGAGGCCCCTACATTAACCCCTAANNCCCCCCCCCCCCCCCCCCCGGGCCAGCGAGTAGCCACAAAGAGCCAGGGACAGCAGCATGGGCACCGACCGTTCCAGGTGCCTCCAGTTTGCCATGTTGTCGCCTGCTTTCGGACGGAGGCTTCATGTCAGTGGGTTTTACGGTCTACAGCTCGGGGGTTGGGGCTCAGGGGCTTAGGGCTTCGGGGTTTA